AAACCATCTGCAACCCCCTCGCTATCAACGTTCCCAAACAGCGTTTTGTGTCCCCACAGCTAACAACCATTCTTACCATGGCGCTGGACATGTCCCCACCTCAGATGGCCCGTGACGTACTGTGCCTAGACTAAACCACCAAACGAAAACGGACGAGACCCTTGACGAGAGGACCGCCAACATCCTCCTCATGTTCCATGTTCGTCCGAGCGACACCCCGAAATGAGCACGGCCTCTTCTCGATCCGGATGTTGTCCAAATTAGATGTCGTGGTCATCTGGATAGAATCCTTCCAGAACGTCTGTGGAAGCTGAGCTTTCTTCAATGCCCAGCGGTCATAGTGAGACAACGTCAGGAACATGCCCTCGGACAGGCCGCCGTTGACATATCGCTACGACCGGTGCTAGCTAGCTCCAGGGCAGTAACTTGGGATATTCGGCCCGTAGTTTAACTCTAGCATGTTCTACTTGGTATGATGGGTAAGTTAAATTAAGTGGGCAGGTATAAAACCATAGGCGTCCGTGCGAAAAGATACCTGACAGGGGGTTTTTACTTTTGCTCCAAACCACAGTAGCATTGCGCATGTTATCCAACACATTATGCGGTATAAACGTTGGCGTTACAGCAGTTATGAGACCTCTCAATGGACAATGGCCCGAGCAGACTTGCAGACAGTCGCCGTTGTCTTCCCCAGATTTTTAACCATGTCCGTCATCCGCACTGACCTCCACTGGTGAAAGTCTGGAGTGTGTTACGACGGTTCATCGTACGTCTTCTTCGCCGGAAACAAGACTATAACGGGACGAGTTAAATATCACGGACAAAGTGTTCACGGGGCTTAGGTGAACATGGTGAGGACAGATCATCAATGCGTATCCCCCCAAAGCTAACAGAAACTTGGCACATATAGCACATCAAATGTTCAATGTTACACAACCCGTCGTCCCCTGACAAGTTGACAGCATGGCAGTGCGGGCCGGAGCCGCGTTTCCTTTTCCAATGTTTCCATACCAAATGTCTTCATTTTCTGGATCTGGGGTTGTTTCTTCCTTGGCACAAACCGCTTCTGGACCTGCTGGGTCTGTGGGTGATGGATCTGTGTGTCTCACCGAAGCCACAGCGCATCGACACCGGGGAAGCCACGGAAACGGCAATAATTCACCTCTACCAATGCATGGGAATAGCTTCACCTTGTTTTTCGCCGGTCAATGTTACCCTCTGACAATCCAAAGGCTCCATAATTGACGGCAACCCATATCAATCATCTTGCAAGCCCGGTGAAGTGAGGCTATTCTCAAGTAAGTCTCGATATTTCACTTCGACGTCAGATTCCCAGAGGCTGCCAATCATATCTCCTCAAAGTGACGATCTCTTTCCTTTTGGTCGGAATTTTGATGGGCACCTGTGAACCTGAGCACCGGCATGCACGTGCCTGACGAAAGCTGGGAGATCACTGTCGTCTTGCTTCAAGTTGCCCAGCATAGTATGCATATCATATATGTATCATGTATCTTCTGGGAACGGTGACAAGTAAGTAGTCTAATTTCTGGGTTTCTTAGCGGGGTAGTCGGTGGTGTTGATCGAAGTAATCCGTTAGTTTTTCTTCAGAACCGCTGACATTTTCTTTGCTAGGTAACAGCGGAATTGGAAGGCCAGGAAGGTATCCGTAACAGTGTCCGGTAAGAAACCATCCCATGCTATAGCTACCTAGCTTTCCTCCGTTTCACCACTCCGCCTTCCCTTTGCAATCTTCTATATTCCAAAAGGAATGATAGCAATATCACCACGGTCCAGTCCCGACTCACATGACGACCTCCGTGTCCGTCCGTGGCCGTTCGGCCCCCGGAGGGTGCAACCGGGGTCGGGTGTCAAACATTCATTCCACGCAACAAACCCCCACATTTCACAGTATCCCAGCCGAACGTCAGCGGGCGTCAGCGCCCCAAACAGCCCCGGAAGCCAGGGGTTTCAGTTCCCCGGCTCTTCCCCCGGGAACCGAATCTTGGCTTTGATGACCTGTCAGGGCCTGTCAGGGCGTCCTAGCCTGGTTTTGGTGGTCAACTGACTTTTTGGCAAGGGGGTTGTGAAATTGGGGAGACAAACATTGTGATTTCCCATACTGTATTTCTTCGATGGGGATTTCAAGCAAACGGTTGAGATTTCGAGGTGAATGAACGTTCAAGGTATCTTTCGACGAATTGCTGTAAATTTGATAGAGGTTGAATAGCTGAGGGCGAATGCAGAATTGTGCGCTGACAACAGCGTCAAAACCTGTGTTTAAACACCACGACACGGCGATATCGACATTAACGGGGCAATTCAAGACGGGATGGACGAAAATTACCACAATAGGGGCACTCTGGAAAAGCAAAAACATTTCCAATGATAGGAAGGGTTTGCAGCCAGTATCTGTCAAGAGTTCAGCCTAAATGTTGTTTCTCTTTCTTTTTTCTTTTTTACACATCATGCCTGGTGGGCTTTTCGTCCTCTCCTCCAATCACAAAATTCACATGCCATTTCCGCATTTTCTGTCTTATTTCCTTCTCGCATTTTTCCTGAATTCCCTTCCCTGTTTATGCGATTTCCCATGGATTTCCGCTTCCCTATTTTCCACATCCCATGACCATCCTCAACCCACCCATTTCTGCCCCCTACCATACCACCACACCACTTACACAAGATTTCAGCACCATACAGCTCCGTTTTCAATGTGCTTTCCCCCTGGTTCGCAGCGGTTTTCGTTTGACCTTCCCTTTTTCTATTCATCAAATGGTCAATTTTGATTCCCTTGACCCCCACTTACGACTATTAACCCCTCCACTACCCGTCAGCCATCCGTGAATCACCCGCGGATAAGCCCACGGGTCACCCGTAAGCCGCGGCTCGCTACTGTGAGGCTCATCCTTCATCACCCGTTCATCACACAACACCCGTCCCATCACCTCCATCACCACATCTCATCACCCCCACACTATACCCGAAACAAGCCTATAACGCGACTCTTCAAGCCCTTATCTGAGACACTGTGAGATCATTTGTCTCGTCCCTCGGTCCCTCGGTAGAGACCTCTAGAGACCCTTCAGTTGGGACACGCAGTGTCTGACCGAGGCTTACTGGACGACAACGAACAACGAGAACAACGGTAGGAATAGGATACTGTAGGAGCAAACACTTCAGAAACCTGGGACCAATAGAGAGCTCGTGCATATCATGAGCATCACGAGGACAGTCTGAAAGCGGACTGGAAACGGACTGAAAGTGGCGGGAATACCCTGGACTCTGGGCTGGACAGCAAACATTGATGGCCAAGCCGGGGAAGGATACAGAGCCCGGAACCAGAGCAAGTCAGCAAGAGACCGGTCCAGAGTTGCCCCCGCGTCCACAGATTTCCCATTGTGCTATTGTCGCGCTTATTCTTACAGATGTGCCGTATTGACCTGGTTAATCTGGGCATCTGGGCATCTGGGCTTGCCAGCGCCATCCGAGGCCCGAGCCGGCATCAGATACCCAACTATCGTGAAGCGTGATCTGCACGTGGTTTGGCATACCGCTACTGTTGGTAACTCAGGGGTAAATGCGAAGTCGATGCATGAAGCAATGGCGAAGTAAACAGATCGGTTGGATGTGCCTGAAAGTGCCTGAAAGTGCCTGGCATAGAGGTATGTAAGGGCAACGCGTAAATCGCATCATGTATATAGAAAGCACATAGTGCATGCCTCTCGCTACCAGACTGTCGGGTCCTTTATGGAGACTCTCGGCCTTGTAGGGCCTAGATGGAGGAGATCTAGTTATGCGTAGAAAAAGCGATGTACATGCGGAAGTAAACAAAATTAGCTGGATGCGCCTAAATGGACCTGGCATGCTGCAAGGCCAATGTGGCTCATAGCGTAGTTTCTGCCGTTGCGTATACGTACATCGCATCATGTAGATGTGGAAGCATGCCTCTCGATACCAGATTGTCGGGTCGTTGATGGACTCTCGGCCCTGTAGGACGTAGATGGAGATGGTTCACGGTAGCGAACATCAACATCTATCTGCGAGCGGAGATTGGCTTTAATTTTTCCCAAGGAGAATACGAACGACTTTCATACCTAGGTAAGGACTGGACAGCAAATATTGATACCTACCTTGGCCAAGCCGGAAAACAAAACACAGACAAAATCTCCAACGAGGGTAACAGACCGGTCTAGTCCAAACATAACCGCGTTTATGACTTCACTACGTACTCTGCTGTTGCCGCTCATGTTGACGTTATGATCTTCGTGTAGCGTATCTATTCAACCTAGGTAGGCATTCAACATGGATCATAGAGGTAACCAGGCCTTGCCCACTCCATCCGCCATCCGCATCAGAGGCCCGAGTCGGCGTCAGAAATCGATATCGTGATTTTCACGTCATATTGGCGTACCGCTTACCAGATAATCAGGGGCAAATGCAAAGGAGAAGTAGAGGTGATGCGGAAGTAAACAAATCGGCTCGATGTGTCTGGATGGACCTGGCATGCTGCAAGGCCAATGTGGCTCATAGCCTGGTATCCGCCGTTGCGTACATCGCATCATGTAGAAGCATATACTTACATGCCTCTCGCTACTAGATCGCTGGGTCCTTCATGGAAAACTTGTTCGTAATTTCGTGGCGATGCAAAGGGCGTACGTACAACACGTCATGTACACGTAGAAGCATATCCTGCATGCTTCTCGCTACCAGATCGCTGGGTCCTTCATTGACTCTCAGCCCTACAGGGCCTAGATGGAGAAGGTCTAATGTGGAAGGCATGTCTGGTAGCGAACATGGACACTCCCAGACGGATCACCCATATAAGAAACAGTTTGCGCCATTATTGATATCCCACAAACACAATAAACATGCTACGCGACGCTAGTGATACCTAGTGTATCAATGCAATAATACCGAATACCCTCCTGAATCCACAACATCACCACCATCATCCACGAACCTCCAAACCCAAGTGCCCAATAACAGCCTCCCGTCCTCAACCCTTATTTGTTCGCCTTGTTAGCATCCTTCTTATTCCTATACTTCCTCCGATCCCCCCTCCTCATCAAAACTTTATCTCTCGTCCCCTTTCCACCCTCCCAAAACCCACCCGTCCTTTTACGGACAACGCTCCTCCCGCAAAACGCACAGTTCTCCACCCGATAATTCTGCTCCCGCGAACACCACCCGCAAATCATCCTGTTTGCCCACTCATCCACATGATCTTCAGCCGCCTGGTGACATTTATCGCAGGGGTAGACTTTGTTGCAGCACGAAAACCTGAACCACCGGTAGGACCGCTTGTAATGCGCGCAGGCGCCCTTGTCGGGGAGAGGTTCGCCGGCGTGGAGACCGAGTTTTTGGTCGCGACGACGGGGGCCGGTGGTGGGTGGTAGGGAGGCAGAGGAGGAGGAGTAAGTGAGGAACTTGACGTCGGGGATTTTGAAGGTGAAGCGTGCGTGACATTCGCGACAGACGTTGGTGGTTGTTTCGCCTCGTACGGAAACGAAGCCTGGGGATGGGTAAGGTGTAGAGCAACGGCCGCAGGTGGGAATAAATGAGGAGGGAAGCATGTCGGCTATTGTGCATCCGCTGAGATCGATGAAGCCGGCGCGCGTGGAGTTGGCGTGCACGAGCTCGGCGCGGAAGCGAACGGAGAAGGAGGTGGCGCATTTTTTGCATGAAGAAAGCTTTTCGACGTCCGATTTGAGATTGGTTACGTCGTTGAGGGTTTTGCAGCGGTTGCATTTGATAGAGAGCGAGAGGAGGGTTACTTGCAGGAGCTCGATGCCGTGCAGCTCGATGGAGGGGAAGGAGATGGCGGTGCCGCGCTCAGGGGTGGCGGTTGGGAGCGAGGTGCCCGGTGTTGGGCCTGAACGTGAGGTGGTGTTGCCTTCGCCGTCGACAAACTCGTAATCGTCGTCGGTATCGGTTTCGGTCTCAGATTCAGACTCGGAAGACCCATCGGCGTTGACGAGCGTCCACTCCAATGGTCGGGGAATGACATGTACATGTCCCCGTTCTCCATCTACCACCGAGGCCGAAGCGACATGTTCCGCCTCCTTGGCCTCTTCATCCGCCGCTGCCCTCATCTTCCCTTTCTCCTGCTCAGCAGCAGCAGCCTTCACCTCCTCTGACTTCTGCTGTGCAGCCTGCTTTGCCAAAGCATGCAAATTCGTCGCCAAATAATTCAAGTGGCTCGTCAAACTCATCTGCTTCTGTTCCACCGCCTTCTGGCTAAACAGCTCCTCGACTGCCTCGGCCTCGGTAGCATCGACATCGTTCAACAACACCCTGAGTGGCTGCAGCGGGTACAGCAGCGGAATAACCAGCTGCACCGAGTGCACGCTTTGCAGACCTGATGGTAAACTGCTCCTCCTCTTGGGGTCAAGCGGTAATGTGTAAATCACCCCGTCGCTGGACTTGTGATACAGTGGGAGTCTGCTCATGCGTGCTTCCAGCTGACGCACTTCTTGCGCTCTCCTGGCTTTGGCTTCGGCGATTTGATCGTGCGTGAAGGTTTCGAGGGGGATGTAGGGCCTTTGCTGAACCATCGGCTTGACCGGTTCAGGCTGTTTCGGTGTCTCCTTCCCAATCACATCAACCGCCTCCCCCTCCACATGCCTGGTATCCTTAAAAACCGTAATCTTCACCGTCTCCTTCTTCTCCTCCGCCAGGAACCCTTCCAGTCCTCTGTCAAGCGCATTCATAACTGTCAACAACGTGCCCCCCTTCAACCCTTTGCGTTCCTCAACAAGCCGATCCCATCCCCGCTCAATATTTACCGCAAATCCCCTCGGGATATCCTTATTCCTGACCAGCAACCTCGCCGGCTTCTGGGGATACTCCGGAGGGATCCGGAGGTCGCATTCTAGCTTTTCCAGATCGTAGGGGAAATCGGGGTCTGAGGGTTTTAGGCTGAAGACGAGGGAGGTGTCGCCTGTTGCGGAGTCGACGGTTTCTTTTGGGGAGAAGCGCCGCTTGAGTTGGTCGATTTGATACTCGCGCGGGGAGCGGAGTTGGCGCTCCGGGACGGGCTTGCTGGCGATGCGGGATGGGGAGGGGGCACTGACGGCTTGTTTGTCGCGGCGGGGTGGGGAGGCATCTTCGTTGCCGGACCCAGAGGGTTTGGGGCGGATGGGAATCATGGTTGCTTCTGAACTGGAACCTGAAGCCGGATGTATGGGTATGATGATGGTGAAAGGATGGTGGTGATGAATGAGAAGATGTGATGCCCGGCCAGTCCGCGCCTGAAATGATGATTATGAAAGGAGAGAAAGATTGTATGGCTGAGAGAGGAAAACTTGTATGAGTTGATTGTTGTGTTCTTGTATTTAAGAAGGCGCCATGTAAAATCAATGGCGGCCGCTGTTGGAAAGAGCTATGGGTGATTATGAATCATAATCAATCATGGACCACAATTCAATGAAGCTGACTGGAGATACAATCGCCGGTGGAGACGCTCGGACCACTAGTGGCGAGAACTTCCACATTCCACGGCGTTCGCAGACCTTGAGTGCACAGGCCACTTCCGCGGTGAACCCCTTTTGTCTTCCCCTGCCAAGGTGAGGCCGGCATGTTCATCTTTGTTTACCTCAAACGGCGGAACACTCCATACCAAACCCTCAGCATTTGAACCTCTTCGATTTGCTCAATTATGCCATTCTAAAAGCTGTGAACACGATACATCGTTGTAAATCCCTTGTTGTCCACGTAGCCGTCCGCGCCAGATCTCCATTTATCCGCTTTCCCACGCAAGTCTTGCTTAGGCAGGCCCGATTCTTTTTCCATGGATTCTTTCCATAAACCTCTTCTGCTGCCGAAGTTTACACGAGCTATGCCGGTAGATATGATTTACTCGAAACTCGAAACTCACAACTCCTCGGTCCCGACATCTTGCTCTGCGTCGCCAAGACAATAGCATTGGTGTAGCAAAATGCCCGAATGTACGATAATGCATCGGGTTGACGGTTTATTGAGCGCAAGAATTCTGCAAGAATGTTAGTAGCAAAGGATCAAGGTTATAAGAGAAGGTTAGATTGCTGATATTGCGGCATCGACAATTATCGCCGATAAGATACACCGGAGTATATTTACCCCTACGTCTTTAATACGTGTTTGACCAACAGAAAGCACCTCGCACCTTCCAAGGGTCGAATGAGCTGTCTTCTCACATCCGATCATACGAATCGTGATGCACTTACTGTCACTGTCCTTTTGGCTGGGTGAAAAGGGCGTTGCCGCGATATCATCGACAAGTCCCTATACATCTTTCCATGATTGGCGGTGTCGGTCAATGGATGACAGACCATCTGAACATGACAGTCTGCAACATCATGGTCACAACTTCATGAATGACCTTCAGTCGAGTCTAGTGCGCGACCCATTATAACGACACATCAACCAAGACAGGACTGATATGCAAGGCTCATGAGCAAGAGCATCGTGATGCGGGCACGATATCCCCTCGAGCATATCGGTCAAGTTTCACCAAGCACAACCCGCACCGGGGGGAAAAGCTTGTTACCCTGGAATCACGTAGACTCGTATCTCATCATTATCACAATGTGGGAAGGGCGCTTTGGAGGATCGCACGGCATGCGCCACGCAGAAGCCTTGGACCTGGCGCTCAAATCGGATCTCCATGGCGTTTCCGTGGAGGTTAGAGACGTGTAAGTGACCGCATCTGCGTGGCGTTGCCAACCTGCAGCGCGGATGCTGGTGAGATGACGGCGCAGTACCCTTTGTGCCAATCGAACGCCACGAGGCTGCTGGTCACAGTGGACGACCATGTCGCAACCCGAATGCCTGGACTGCGGGCATGTTGGATGGGGAAAGTGGGAAGGAGAAAGAAGAGCCGGTCGGATGGGCCGTTCTTTGCGGCCGGGTTCGGACCTTGATTGGGGCCCAACCACGGGGAGGGGCGCATGTCGTCTGTCGGATGACTCGCCAGTTGTCCAGTTATCCGCTGTCGTCACCTTTGACGTTTCGGTAAGTGTCTTCGTCGGTATTGTAAGAAGCCAAGGCAAAAACCGTCGGACGGGAACGCCTGTAGGCTGCCATAGCCCTGCCTCGGACGTCGCCCGATCAAAGTCACGATGCGTTGAACCCGGCGCTTATTGAGCGTGGGTGAGCCACCAGTGCCGAGGTATGATTGACGGAGGGTCGTTCGACCTAAAGTGGTTATTGGATTCGTTCAATCGCATCGGCAGAGAAAACCACTGCGCCGTTCGGGAGGCCGTCGGTTCGGAGAGAGCAGCTCGTAGCCCAAAGTATAGGAGGTATCGGCCAGCCACCACCGTAGTGGGCTGTGTGGAAGCACCTGCTGGATCTGGGGTTAAAGTCCGGGTCGCAAGATTCTGTGGATGATGGCAGTATGCGGGAGGGGACGCGAGAAACTCACCGGTGATAGAAATTGATGAGTTGGCAATCATGGCCCCGGTGTTTTCATGGCCAGATGACCACCATTTCAAGCGTTTGATCTGTGGCGTGCCAGGCTGGAGAGCAGTAGGGGTTGTAGCGATGACGGGTAGTTGTACTGTGGTGGTGGTATTCAGCCCCTCTTCTACACACCATCTTGTCCGTCTGGAAGCTGACGATGGTGGGATGGTCGCGCTAGATAAGGTGCCCTGGCTCTGGCTAGCAAAGGAGGGACGGGACGGTGGGATAAACGGGACGGCGAAGCGAGGCCATGTGATTGCGAGATTATCCAGTATTGGATGGTATTTGGCGGAAACGTGAGGTGTGGTCGCGTTGTTGCATATTCTGGTTGTGTTTGGCTCGGCAAGTTGAAGGAGGAAGAAAAGAAACAGGTTATAATTTCTCGCGAAATATTGAAATATGGACGTCCATTGGCAAAGAAGGAGGATACCAATGGAGTATTTGTCTTGTCGAGGAGGGTACATCTTCAGATTGTGTTGTCGAGAAATGAGAACCAAGGGAAGGGGGGAGGAGGGAGGAAGACGCACATCCCTCCAACCACACGCAGACCTCTTCCGCGGTTGAAGGCACCCAACCTGTACTTCTTTCATTCTCTGTCAAAATTCCTTTTCAATCCACCGCAAACGATACATCACCAAGTACAACGTCGCTTCATCAGCACCAACTACGTTTCAGACAGCAAATCGTAAATCCACAATCGACAAGTCGAGTTTCATTCGGCATCGACTAATTGCTCACATCATGGTCCAACCTAGAGCTGCACGACTCTGCATTGCATTGCAGATGATTTCCCTCTGACTTGCAGTGCATCAGGAACTCACAAGCTGAAGTGATGCTACACAAGGTGGTCGCCTCGTGAGATCGAGAGGCTTATGGTAAATTCCTGACCGTTTTTCATGCTCTGGTGGGACCGTTATAGGTACATGCGAGGTACGATTTGTGTCGAAGAAATGGTCTGTAATCAAATTTCACTAAATAATATTCCACGAAGTTTTCTTCATTTTATTTGATAGTCTCGTACCAGCCCCCAGCCCAACTCTTCTTCCCCTGACCATAAATCTCGTGGTCATCCCCCATTTTACCAGCCGTCCGTCTCCAACACCCTCCTCCCTCAGTCAAAGCTCCACCCGACGGCGGAGGAGATTAAAACAACCTAAATGCCCATCCACACCACTTTCTCATTCTTTGGGTCGGAAGACAGTTGCTTTCATTCCAGAAGACCAAGGCGGGCCTTCTAAACAGGTCTCATACGGACCCTATTTGTCTCACTCATCTTCAACATCCAGCCTCTCCCCGGCGTCCACACCATCCGGCCTTGACTCAGATGCCATCCTTTAGTATTTGGACCCTTGTGTCTTATCTCTCACCCCTTGAAAGGCAACAAGGAACGACAACCACCGAAGGATAGTACACGAGGACTGTGACCTCATCGTACCATATCCTCGGGAACGGAGTCCAGCACGTGAGGAAGAAGTGATGCGATTGGACTTCACTACTGGACCCATGGTCTACCGTTCTAGACTCGGACGACGTCAACCGAGCCATGTGAGAGAGTTCATTAGCAGAAGGGAGTGACTTTGCTATGTCGTTATGACAGATCGCAAGAGGTCAAGCGATCTCTTAGATTCTCACTCAGAGGTTATTCATCCGCCGCTTTACATCATATGTATCTGCGCTGTATTGCCCTCAGGCGGATCGTAATCTCTTCATCTGTCTTGGGGCTCTCTTCACCCCATCTCATATTACCTTCTCATAAATACCAGTTAAGAGATCCCCGAAGCAAAATAGTCACCCCTTTCTTGGGCGAACATGGAGGCCATTGTTCCCAGGAAACTCGCCCTTGGCCTAGGCGGTTCGGTATTGCTGTTCTCCGGGCAGAAGGATCATTGGAAAACAAAGTTAGTCGGAGGAACGGAGCGGAGTCAACCCAAAGAAACGAGGCTGTTCTTGTACGTGTTCTTGAACCACTCCATCGTGTTGATGTTCTTAATGTATCCCTCGGCTCACCTAGTACCAGCAGGACCCCGTCCATCAAAGCAATCATTGGCACGTCCACCTTGATAAAGGAGGGTTGTCGTCAGGGCCATAGGTCTGTCATCGTCCTCGTGCTGCATCATGCGTCAAGTCTTCTCTTCGATGGTCTCCCCGCACCAGGATGGCGGTCACCCCTAGGCCGTATAATCATAGAAATGTAGGGCTATTAAGGGGAACTTGTACATATGAGCAAAGGAATCCCCGAGGGTTGCGGTAGTCATTTGCGGCGGGATGCCCGAGCCGGGATTGCCGACTGACCCTGAGGGTGACGACGGATTGCTGCCCGCATTGCGGGTTGCTGTCCAGTGGCTCGAAGATGTCCACGCCAGGCAATGCAAATTCCAGTCGAGACCGAGACTGATAGGCGGTAAACGCCCCTTCGGCCCTGGGCTTGGACCCCGATGTCACGACGGCAACGTTGGCCATAGACCATCAACGCGACAAGCCCTTTCTCAAGCCATGTTGTTGTTGCCTTCTTCTGCAAAGAAGAAAGCGACGCGTGGGTCAGTGACTGAAGATTGGATGTGTAGGAATGAAGTGTCTGCCCCTTGTCAGAATCATGGTCATATTCATGGACACCGGGAACCTGACTTCCCGTTTTGGAGGTTGTCTTCAAATGGGTGACACTTTGTCACCAAGACAACTGTGTGGTAAAGACCTCTTGAAATACCAAGACCAGTCGGATGTGTGAGTGAGAAGGCTGGATTGAGGGTGAGATGTTGCTCAGATCAAAAAGGTCGAGGAAGAGGCAAACTTGCTCAGACTCAGAGGCTGAGCTGCAGCGCATAACGTTGCCGATTACACCCCCACGCTCACGGTTGACGTGGAAATTGTCCTGGACTGACAAGAAAACGTTAGCGTCTGGCACAAGCGAAGGGATCATGAGTGGACGTAGAGAGTCGACTCGCCAGGATGTCAAACGCATTTTGGTCCAGTAGAAACACTGGCTCAATGTTGGACGTGGGCAACGAGGCTAGGGTTGACCAGTCCGGAGTGGAGAGGGGTTCCGCTGATGGAACAAGCAAAAAGGCAAAAGCAAGAGAGACAAAGAAAGAAAAGTGGAATAGTATATTAACGAGCCAAAAGATGCAATATATGGGAACTGATGAGATGGTGGGGGAAAAATAATCTTGAGAGTGCTGACTTGTCGAGTGGTGGGTGGAGGTGAGAAAGCCGGTGGAATGGGGGATCTTTTACCCGCTCAGAAGTCTAACCACTGCAGTCTGCGAAGGCCGTGGGACCGCATCCCGTCATGCCCTGTTGTGTGTCTGATAAAACCGCAAGAAAGGGCAACTTTGGGCAAAGGCGTGATGATGGCTGTTGCAGGTCCATTCCCTGGCTGATGGAAGGTGTGCAGCTCACAGAGCGCATTGAGTTCCAACTTGAGCAGGCGACACCTCCAACACAGCCTCAGGAGGCTCCCGCTATCCCGTCACAGCCAACTGAAAGGAGTAGGAGAGAGCCGAACTCCAAGGCAGGGCCGTACTCAGGTTCTTACCTTAGGTACCTACTCGTATCTGTGCTTCTCGTCTGCACCTCCGGGGCCGTCCCTCCTTCTTCTTCCCCAAACACGACCGGCAGATGATCGAAACGAAGGCGGATGCAAGCGAGATATTGATCAGCTTTCTGTCCTCGCGCCTGCCTCCGAGCCTCCTGTGACCCCACCACAAAGCCGCTACC